TCAAAAATTTATCAAGCAGTTGCCAACCGATTTTGGCTTGATAATCTCAGTATTAGGTGGCACTATTACAATTCTATTAACTACTTTTCTAGACAAATCTTTTCGGAAAATATCCCCTTCTTATCTATCCCCTTGAACTGTTACTTGGAATAACTTTTTTACACGGAAATATCTGCAGAGAGTGTGCTCCAACTAAGTTTTTTTGTACTGGTGATTTCACCTCTCAAATATTGCAGTGCCAGATCTTTGCATCGCACTGTACCATGATTGTAACTTCTTCAAACGAAGCATTAATTTTGTCAACTTCTGGGGTTAACAATTTTAAATCCTCATGGGAAACTAAAATTTTTTCTCAAAACCTGCAATTCTTTTCAATAAATCATTTTTGAGCTGTTTTGCTATAATGGACCCCGTTTTTGAGCTATTCCTGCTAGAGCAGACCTTGATCAAATTTGCAAGATGCTTGTAGGAGTACTGTTTTACAGAGTCCTTTAGTCGACAACGCAAGAACTAAATTTTTAGGTACCTCTTTGACCTCCGTTTTTACATTTACCTAATTCAAATCAAACGTAACTTATATGATTAAAAGCTCTGAGATTCATCGCATTAAATCTGAAGAGGCGTCCGGGCTTCTCTCTTAGATCTCATCTTTCACTGCTTTTCTTTTACCACCAAAGTAATTCCGTCGTTCCCATTAAAGATTCAACATTCACGTGAGAAGATCTTCTACCCCTACCAATGACAGGGGAATTGACCAAGCTACTGTTTCCATCGATTCTAAACTACCCATTAGCGTTTCTATAGGCGCGCACTTGCCCCAATTTAAACTGCTGAAATTCAAAGGGCGCCCAAGAGATCGACCAACATTTTGGAATACCTTTGAGCAAACAGTCTTAATAAAAGGGTACCCAATGGGCTCAAATTCTTCTATCTGACGGAGTTGTTAGCGGGCGAAACAAAAGCCCCCACTTTAAGCACTATTTCAAAACCAGAAAATCATCCTGTTTTGGTTCATAAACTCGGAAAGTTTTATGGTGATGGCCAACGCTTAAACGCAGAATTACACCGCGAGCTGCACTCTTTACAGCCTATTTTTTGGAAATCTCAACTCCGTCAAACGTGGCAGCAAATGGTATCTATAACCCAACAGTTAGAAGCACTGGGAGAATTGCTGAGCCACTCATATGTCAAAAACCTACCGGAGGACAAGCCTCCATATTCAACTAGAAAAAAGATTTACTTGGCTAAATTAGCAGACTCTTATTGAAATGTCACTGGACATTTCTGAACAATCTTGCCCTCGTCAAATTACACGCGATGTCAGCGCCACGTCTGCCATCACCGCAAAGGAATAGAGAAATCAAGAAACTACCAGCTGTCCATTCAGAGGCACAATCATCGGCAATGACTTTTCAGTTTCACAAAGATGAAAGAAAACCTAAGTTATTGCGGAAATGTGCCTTTTGCGAAGGGAACCGCTACCATGACCAATGGGACCGGCACAGAACCACAAAAGAACGAAACAAGCGGGGTAACACACCTGAAGCTCTGCTGCAAATGTCTATGAGCAGGTTATGCTTCAAAATCTTGTCAAGCTGGAATCAAGCCGTGTTTTTTAAATCAAGCCATCCCAGCGCCTTATGTCCGGCACACAAAGTCCAAGAAAGTTCAACTCGACAACAACAGCCTTCGAAAAGCGCCTCATCAAATGACCTATCAACAACAGGTGCAGTCGACACTTCATCAACCTAGTCCTCGACATTGTAAAGCGTTAAATCTCCCAACAAATCCAAGGTCTTACTGAAGTGTGGAGAAGCAATTTGTAATGCTTGGTATTCACGACATAAAGGAAGAGTACTGATCTTTTTTGGTAGCGGAGGTCAACGTTCCTATATCGACCAGTGTCTAGCCAAATGACTTGATCTCATCATACTGAAACGGAAAAAGCTGTTTGTGTCCACTCTTGGAGCAACAAATCCAAGAAGAATTTTGTTCTACGAAACTGAGGGAATGTTGACACTGGAGAACGGTGAATCAGAGATCGTAAAACTAAATGCTGCAGCGGCGATGAAACAGAAGGTAAAAACGTCCAAGATCGACAGCAAGAACGCCGATGGTCAGGGCTTGCAAAACTTAACGACAAAATAGGAGTCAGAAATACTGATTGAAGCCAACTGCTATTTTGACTTCCTGGAACGCGTGATAAAATTGAACTGCGGAGTGTACCTGAATGACACAAAGGTAGGCCCCTTATTAGCAGGCCAGACAACAACGGTAGGGGGTAGAAATCGAGGAATCATGTTGTATAAAGATAGTCGTAGCACTTTTCCTTCTTGAGATCTTACTAGGATATGCACTGGCTGAATTTTTCTTACAAAACCTCACATACGTTGTACAGCTGATTATGAATTAAACCAGCGTTGTTTAATTGTCAAAATTACCTATTTATTTTTCCATAATCTTATCATTTTACTAAATGTCAATAGTTTACCATTTTTATATTATTTGTGTAATGTGTTTTTCCATTCTTCATGAATAGCTTTGAATGGCTTCAAGTTATTCAGTTAAAAATTTTGTTTATTCCCTACTCTTATCAATTTAATTTTGATATTTTGTTAACATCGCAGTTTCCTCTATAAAATTCATCAAATTGAGTGATTTAGTAATTTTTCCAAATTTTTTTTTCCAAAATTTT